TGAACTACTAGTTTTATTTCTGGGAATTGAATGAACACATATTCTGCTGACTTATGAAATGATACTTGTTCATGGGTGTTCAGTGCAGTGTTATTTGAAATATCAAAAGACTGGAAAGAACCAAGTGCCTATCAATACAGGACTTGACAAAGAATACATGGTTCTTCTATACAACTGTAAGAAACAAGAAAGAAACATCATTGAAGATATGAAATATGAGACCTCCCAAATATAATGTTTAATGAAAGAGGCAAGGCACAAAACATGTAGAACACGTTACCTTTTATATGAAGAGGGGGAAATGAGAGTCTTCATTTGCATTTGTATACACACATACACAAGGTCTATAAAAATACATGAGAAATTGACAGTGATTACTGGGATAATTGGATGGATGTGGGAACTGTACCAACTTAATTGTTTGCTAGTGGTAGAGACTGTCATTCTCTTATTCCTTTAGTAATAGGACCTTCCAAATTTTAACTGCTCACATAGCCACCAAGTTTAAGACCACATTTCCCAGACTTTCTTGCTGTAAGGTGTGGCTCGTGATTAAGATGTGGCCAATGGAATGCGAGCAGAAGCAATGTGTTCCTGGGACGTGCGACATGTTAATGATCAGCAGGCTTCTACCATGTGGATGAAGACAATTCTCTAGCCAAAACCGGTTTGGCTCAGTGGATAGAGCTTTGGTCTGTGGCTGAAAGGTCCCAGGTTTGATTCTGGTCAAAGGCATTACCTTGGTTGCAGGCACATCTCCAGTAGTGGTATGCAGGAGGCAGCTAACTGATGTTTCTCTCTTATCGATGTTTCTAACTCTCTAGACCTCTCCCTTTCTGTAAAAAAAATAAAATTAAAAAATAAATTAAATTAAATTAAAAAAAAAAATATATATATATATATATATATATATATATATATATATATATATATATATATATATATATATTTTTTTTTTTTTTAAGACAATTCTCTAGAAGATGGCAGAAGATAAGACAGAAAGACCTGGGTTCCAGGATGACCCAGAACAGCCACCTACCATCCTGGAGGGCTTTTCCCATTTGGGACAATCATGCTAAAAAAGAGCTGTATTTTTACCTTGTTTAATTTGCTGCATTTTGGATTTCTTTGTTAAAGCAATGTAGCCTAGCTAAAGCAAAAAAAAATGACACCTAGAAATGAGCAGCCACAGTGTCAAAACCACACGTGGCACTGGCTTAGCAGCTGGGAAGGGAAAGGGGTAACAAAATATTGCAGACTCAAAAGAAAGCTGGTGACCCTTGTTATATTGGAAAATAAAAATTGCTAGCACTTCAATAACTTGGGAGGGAAGCCCTGCATCATCTGAGGGGCAGCAGTGGGAACCAGAATGTTGACTGCTCCTTGCTGTTGTTAGTGGGCTATAAATTGTCACATGACCGGCCTATAAAAGTCTGACTTTTCAACCTTCAAAGAAACCACTAGGCACCCCCAAATCTACACCAGCAGAAAAATGTGTTCTAAAACTGGCAACCTCAAGAAGTGGTTGGGAAGTGGTCATGAGGGAGGTGGACATGACCTTAGAAAGAAGCAAAGCCTAGCCACGGGCCTCTGCCCTGTCGGGACAAGGAGCCTGCAATCCTGCTCGGTGGAATCTCACTGCTGTTATGGACTAACAACTGCCTGTACTTCCCTCTCTTCCCTTTCCCAAAAGGAGTTTACATGGTGGTTTCCACTCTAGCTTCTATACTGTATCTGGGAGTTGAGGAATGGGTGAATCTGCCTATTCTTTTATAGGTTTCTCCTAAGGAGAAGCCTGTCCTCACCTAATGAAAAGGTCTGCCTCAGATCACATGGAAACCCTCGATCTCAGCCCAGAGGCATTAACAGAATGAGCCTCTGTGAGGTCTCTCTTGGGGTGGGAAGAAGAGCACATGAGGGTGCCCAGGGAGCTAGAGGGCCAAACAGAGGAGGGGTTGCTAATTTCCCTTCCAAATCCATTTTTTCCTCTTCCTGTTTGTAACAAAAGCCCCAGAATTTTAACTCGTCTCAAGGTCACTTAATTAGCAAGGGCCCTTCCAGTCTCCCCTGCTGTGAGGTGTCTCTGTGACTGAGAACATGATAACAAAGTGATGCAGGCAACTCCCAGGCCTCCCTGTCTGCTGGGCTGGATGGAGCCATAGTATTGGGAGCAGCTGTGAACACTGAGGGCCGCTCAGAACACAGAAAACCACTCTGAGAACTTGGTGGGATACTGAGAGAGAAGCAGCATGGGTCCCTGACGATCATGTGGAATGCAGGCTGCCTGCCCTCACCACCTGTCTCTCTACAGATTGTTCCATGAGAGAAGGAACCTTCTATCTTACTAGAGCCATTGTATCTCTTATCACTATTTAGCCAGGGCCCTGATATCTTTGTATAACTGTAGAAGGTACTGGCTATTTGGGAAATTAATATTTTCAAAAGGAATAATAATTTTTAAAAAGTGTCAGGATCTGCCCTAACTGGTTTGGCTCAATGGATAGATTGTTGGCCTGCGTATTCAAGGGTCCCAGGTTCGATTCTGGTCCAAGGGCATGTACCTTGGTTGCTAGCACATCCCCAGGCGTGCAAGAGGCAGCTGATTGATGTTTCTCTCTCATCCATGTTTCTCACTCTCTATCCCTCTCTCTTCCTCTCTGTAAAAAATCATTATATATATATATATATATATATATATATATATATATATATATATATATATATATGGTGTCAGGACCTGATAAGAAATGTTTTCTTTTACTCCATAATATTCCTTTTGAGACTCAAAACTGAAGGAATATTTAAAATAGAGAAAAAAGATACATGCAGTGTTCACTGCAGCTCTAAAACACAGAGAAGCAGTTAAAAAAAAAAAAAGTTAGAAACATGCTAAATCTTCAGCCCCAGGGAATAATAAAATAAACTGTAGGCCAGCTCTAGCATTATAGAGCTATTAAAATCATCCAAATAATAATACAGAGAAAACATATGCATGACTGGTACCACTGAAGAAGGAAAAATTAAATATTTTATTATAGAAGGAAAGATTCCTGAAATTAAAAATAAAAGACATATCTGTATATCAAAGGGGGCAAACTATCCCAGAAAAAGACAAGTTCAGAAACATCACAGATAGAGAAAGAATCTAAGGTACCGAGACAGAAACAACTTCTCCAAAACAACTAATATTAGGAGATAGGCCAGCATCCTGAGATGAAAAAAGGAAGACTCAAGAATCTTATAACCAGTCGAGAGTACAGGTAACAGGCCAATATGATTAAGCAGGTAAGACCTCAGAGAAGGCAGCACTCACAATCCTTTCATGGGGGAAAAAAGTGCTTTATGGCAAAATCCAACCAACCAAGAAATAAATCATGTCAGAATTAGGACTGTAGTAAGCCATGTCAAGTCCTGAAAGAGGTTAAGAAATCTACAACTGAGAGTTAAGAACTGAGGGAATTATAATTATATAACTTCATGTAATAGATCTTGCAAACTATAAAAATTGAGATGGGAAGTAGGGGAGAAGAACTGGGAAGGAGTATAAGATAATGGACTCTGTCAACAGCTGAAATGCAATTTAAAAACCAATGACACCTATACAAAGATTTCTTCACTTTACTGTACATGTTATTCAATAAAAATAAGAATGATACCGCATCTTCATGTTTTTCACCTTTTTTTTCTTAACTTCGGAGGAAGAGATCAAGAAATAAGATATCTTATTGTGGAAAAAATATATATTCCCTTAAAGTCTGACAATTCCTTCAGTTTCATTTATTCTGTTCCTAATAGATACAAAATTAAATATGCTTCATGAAAACAGCCTATTTGATAAAATTAAATCCTCATAAAATATTAATTGCAGTTTTATAAAATTATTTCTATTTTATAATGGTATTTACTGCATATTAAAAATAGATCTCTCGCTGAAACCGGTTTGGCTCAGTGGAAGAGCGTCGGTCTGCGGACTGAAAGGTCCCAAGTTCGATTCCAGTCAGGGTCATGTACGTTGGTTGTGGGCACATCCCCGGTAGGGGGTGTGCAGGAGGCAGCTGGTCGATGTTTCTCTCTCATCGACGTTTCTAGCTCTCTCTCTCTCTCTCTCTCTCTCCCTTCCTCTCTGTAAAAAAATCAATAAAAACATATTTTTTTAAAAAAATAGATCTCTCGCTGAGTGGGAGGATTTTACAAAATGAACATCTGAGTGTTTGAGAGGATTTTAAAAATTCATTTGTATTTCTATATAAATTTTTAAATAAACAAGTCCCCCCCACAAACAATAAATTTCATGTTGTTTCAAAGATAATGATCATAAGAGATTATATAAAAAATAAAAATAACAATACATTTAAAAAGTACAGGAGATAAGTGTATGTATGTACATATATCGTATAATACCAGGGATATATTTTTTATAGTATACACACACACACACACGCACGCACACACGTCAGAAAGGAGGCAAATGTACTAAAATTTTAACAACATTTTAAGGATTAGGGATAGATTTCTCCCTCAAAATCTGAAATGACATTGGAGTACTTACATAGTAAAAAAAAAAAAATTAAGTGACCAATAGTTCTGCTACTTCTGCAAAAATTCCCTTCCTATTACCCACGTAATAATAATTCTCCTAAATAAATTATTAGGCTTTTAAAAAATTATGAGCCTGTTTGCCTTCCTGGGGCGAGGAGGTTATTATCATGGCTCCAGGACACAAAGGTCATGCACATGGCAGCAAATTATTTAATCAGACAAAATGGATGACTGTTAAAATAAGGCAAAATCTACCCCATCTTTCATTATAGTGTGAAGAATTATTAGGTGATACCTTAGCTGAAACAGAAAGCCACTACCTGAGGGATGAAACATGATCGAGGAGGCTCTTGGAAAGGCATCTGTTGCTTTGGCACACAACCTTGATCGCCAAAAGGACTCATCAAGACACCAGCTGGCAGATTCCTGCCGCCTCCCGCATGTGTATCTAAGCCACGTACCGAACCTGGTTCTCCAAGAAGTGCATGTACCGGTAAAGCAGGGTGTAGGATGGAGACAGGATGCCCACGGACTTCATGCGTGCTCCGCGCTCCAGCTCGCTCTCCACGGGCATGTTGGCGAAGCAGGCCAGGCCGAAGAAGGGCCCCTTCCGGAAATAGCTAAAATGCACCAAATAAGCAGTGTGGTTCAAAATCAGGGAGATTCTGTTTTGCTTTGTTTTTTTGTTTTTGTTTTTTCATTTGAGATGCAGTCCCCAAGAAAAAAAAAACTGTGTCCAGGGCTTTTTTGTAAGAAAGCTCAGCCTAAAAATAACACCTTCTTAGGATCACAGGGGAACAATTAGCCTAGGCTACTCAACCTCCCAAACAAGACACCCAAGCTCTAAAGAAATGATGGAGCTCACCAAGGGGCATCCAGCTGAAGCCAGGACTGATCTCTGGCAAGCCTGCTACCCAACTGCCCAAGACCATGAATATGTCCCTTCTCCCCTCCTGCATAATTAAGGACTTGATGGAAGACCTAAGTACATAGATTCATCTCCAGGCCTGTCTGGAACCAGCAATCTGTGTCATTAGTGTAAATAGTGTTGACTCTTTCCTCTCTTCCTGAGGCTCTGATCTAACAGACCCTGTGACCAGAGCGGTTACATTTCCTTCCTCTTTCTCACACTGCATCAGTCATGCGTTCAGCCCAAGGGGAAGGTTAAAGCAACTTCGTTACGCTCATGTTCTTTCCCTTTGCTCCTTCTCCCAAGAACCTTAATTACACAGAATGATAACCTGGCTTGATTTAAGGCTGGAATTTGAAGCTTTAGCACATAAATATCTTGGGTTAACTGAAACAAAACCAAAACTCCATGCTTTCATTCAAGCCAAACCTCAAGTGAGGGCCAACAGTTTTTTAGAAGGGGAGAGGACCTCTACATTAAAAGCTCTTAACTTCTTTGGGTCATGAAACCCACTGAAAACTTAATGAAATGTAAGGACCTTCTTGCTAGAAAAATCATATAAATGCAAAACTATATATTTTTTTTCAGGGCATTTATACGCACTTCCTAAAGACCACCTTATGCTTGGGCGAAGTACAGGGTGGAAAGAACATGGAGAATACTTACATTCAGAAGTACTTACATGAAATCAGACTGGATTTTATGGGACCCACTGGCCATAGACTTGAACTCAACGCCTTCAAGGTCAATATCTTGTGGTAAACACCATTCCACCATGTTTCCTGTGGGGAAGGGAGAACACAGTTAAAAGAAGCAAAGTCATTCAAAGAACAAGGCTGAATGAGTGCAGGGCTCAGCACACCTGGTCCCGCAAGAAACAAACTCAATAACTTGTTAAAGCTTTAATTTACCTAAATTCTGTACTGTGTAGGTACAGAAAAATACTATACAAAGTGCCATCATAACTATTCAGCTCAATGGGTTTTTCCCAACGTGCATACACCTGTAACCAGGGACAAGACCAAGATGCAGAACAGATCTGTATGTCACCAACCCTCTCCTGACTTCCAACACCATGCATTAACTTTACTGTTTTTGAAATCTGTATAAATGTGATCATCGTGTCTGTTCTCTTTCGCTCAATAATTTTTGCAAGATTCATTCACCTGGGTGCGTGGAGCAAGTACTTCCACCCTATGCATATAACACCGTTTATCTACTTAACTGTTGATATACATTTATGGTTAATAGCTCATTTTTCAACTTAATGCCATTACAAATATCACTCCTGTGGACTATCTGGTGGATACAATTGGAGGCCGAACTCCATTTCTCAGAACTCCGTTCCCTGTGTGTTTCGGGTCCACATGGGAAAATGGAAAGGAAGCAATCAGCTGTGTTGTCTTCACAACAGAAGGTGGTGCAGGAGCATGAGGCAGCTCCCTGCTGAGGCCACCCTCCCCTGGGTCCATTTCCGTGGGTCCTCTTCCAGCTCTCTGACTCCCAAGCCAGGAGTGCCTTTAGTTCCTTAATGCTGGGCGTTAGCTTCATCAGGACACTCACATGCTAAAGCTGGAAGCACTGACGGGCTGACCCAGGTTCACATTCATCCAAATCAATTCCGGCTTGTTCTCTTTCTCCCCAACTTTACCGCCTTTTTCCATAACTGCTCACTAGTACACTCCGAGCTCCATGATCACACACAAAGACGACAGCCGTACACGTATCTAACCAGCTCCCACGCTGTGCAACACCATATTCCTGAAGTAAATCCCTGTGTGTATCTCCCGGTAGTTCTCTCTTGGATTAACCTCTGACTGACACAATAAACACACATTGCTGTTGACTACATCACGAGAAGAAGTGCTGTAAAAATGCTCCCATCACTGCAAACTAGAAGACGTCAATAGTTCCCCAAGTAGTATTTCCCAAAGCTTAGGTGGACAGGGCTTCCGCAAAAAAAACAACAACAAGATTTTGAAAAAGGATTTGAGCCAAATAAGTTATATAAAGATGGAGAGGACAGATTATTGCAGAACTTCTCAGAGCCTTTATATGTTACTCTGCACTGTGAATCTCTATGAAATGAATAGAGTGTTTAATGTTTCCACAATTATTTGGCCAATAAACCTATTTTTAAGGAGCATCTAAGGGACATTTTATAGACATGCTAGTAGATAAGGGATAGAAAGCTGGCCCTTAGTATCCATTCTTCCTTGCTCCTAGGAAACAGACCCTTCTATGTTTAGCTTGGCACATGGCCTTCCAAATGATAACTACATTTCTCAGCACCTTCTTGCATACAGGGATGGCTGTCTATGTAAATTCTAGCCATCTCATTTACTCAACCAACGAGATGTAGGCAGAAGTGAGGTGTGTGGTTTACAAAATGTGGCTTAATCGACAGGAGAATGATGCCCCTTCCTCTAGCCTGCTGCTGGGAACGTGGGTACAAGCTATCCTGAACCATGAGGGGGACGGCATCCGCTACTTGTCATGGAGGGGATGATGGAGCAAGAGCCACTGTGAGTCTAGGTCCCTGAATGACCTCGTGGGTCTGAGCCAGCATTTCCCCCCTGGGCCAGCCATCTCCTGATACATGATTAAAAAACAAACAAACAACAACAACAAAATACCTCCTATCTTGATCCAGCCACTCTTAATTTGGGTTTCTGGTATTCATGGCTGAACCCATGTTTTATCTGATGCAGCTGACCTATGGAAGTAAGCAACCATCCTCAGCCTGATTCTCAAAGCCTCCCTCCTCATTCCTCTGTGCTTGGCCATACCTCCTCGTACAGAAATGGAAAGAATCAGATGGACTAATGACATCCTGTTCACATCTAGACAGACGCAAGCACGTCAGGGCTGGGCAGAAAGGTGTGTCAGGCTGAGGAATCAGGGTCAGAATGCAGGCTCCCAAGCAGCACTCGGAATAGTTCCTTATCCAAAGGGAGAGTATTCATACTGACACCCTCCTGGAGTGAAGCAAGGTAAATAAAGCTACTGTGGCCCTCATCCCAGCCTATCATCTCTGTTTTAGATGTCTGTCAATCCAGGAGTCTGAACTAAAAAAAAAAAAAAAAAAAAAAAAAAAAAGTTTTTTTTTTTTATTAATTTAAAAGAGAGAAGGAGAGGGAGAGAGTAACAGGATCAAATGAACAACATGGTATGTGCCCTGATCGGGAATCAAACCGGTGACCTTTTGGTGCATGGGATGATACTCAACCAACTGAGCCATACCAGCCAGGGCAGAAGAGTGCATTTCTTAAAGGCAGGCACTTTGCTTATTTATCTTCACATCCCAACATAACATAGTGATTAGTACAGGACAGGAATTGAAATCAAAATAAAAAAAAAAAAACCCTCAGCTTTATTGAAGACAGGTATGATGAATTACTGTGAATTACCCTGGGGTCAATAACAATGGTTATATAGGTAAATGTCCTTCTTCCTAGGGGACTTATACACAAGTACCTAGAAGTGAAAAATCACCATTAACTTTCAAAAAGCTCAGGGGGAGAAAAGGTATATCTGTATATAATAAGTTCTGATATAATGCTGACTTTGGGTAAAACAATTGATATTTTAGGAAGAATTTGAATAAAGGAAATTTCACATTTGCTTATGCTATTGACTCAAGGCAATTTCAGTCAAAACCACAGCAAGTTATTTTGTGGATATTGACAAATTAATTCTAAAGTTTATATAAAAAGGCAAAAGATCCAAAATAGCGAATATTATGCTTAAGAAAAACAGTCAGAGGACTGATACTATCCAATTCTAAGACTTACTATAAAACAATGGTAATCAAAACAGTGTGGTATACAAGGGAAACAAAAGGAAAAATAAAGATATGGAACTATACTAAACTAAAGCTTTTGTACAGCAAAGGAAATCATCAAGAAAAGGACACCCTAACTGGTTTGGCTTAATGGATAGAGTGTCGGCCTGTGGACTCAAGGGTCCCAGGTTCGATTCCGGTCAAGGACATGTACCTTGGTTGTGGGCGCATCCACATTGGGGGTTGGGGGATGCAGGAGGCAAATACATTTTGTTTAAAAGAAAACTGACTGAATGGGAGAATATATTTGCCAATGATACACCTGAGAAGGGGTTAATATCCAAAATTTACAAAGAAGCCAAATCAACACCAAAAAAAACCCCACCAAAAATCCAATTTAAAAAATGGGCAGAGGACCTAAATAGACACTTCTCCAAAGAGAACTTACAGATGACCAATAAACATGAAAAGATGCTCAATGTCACTAATTATCAGAGATGCAAATTAAAACCACAATAGGAGCCCCAGCCTGGTGGCTCTGTTGGTTGGAGCATCGTCCCATCTACAAAAAAGGTTGTAGGTTCAATTCCAGGTCATAGCATATATGTGGTGTGATCTCCAGTTGGGAGGCAACATATCCTTGGGTGAGGATTAAAAAAAAATACACACAAAAAAACTACAATGAGATATCACCTCACACCTGTCAGAATATCATCAATAAATCAACAAATAACAAACGTTGGCAAGATGTGGTGAAAAGGGGACCCTCGTGCACTGCTGGTGGGAATGTAGGCTGGTGCAGCCACTGTGGAGAACAGTATGAAATTTCCTCAAAAAAATTAAAAGTGGAGCTGCTCTGTGACCCAGTGATCCCACTTTTGGATATATACACAAAGAAACCGAAACAATAATTTGAAAGAATTTGTGCACCCCTATGTGCATTGCAGTGTTATTTACAATAACAAGATATGGGAGCAACCCAGGTGCTCATCAATAGACAAGTGGATAAAAAGTGGTGCTACATTTACACTACGGAATATTACTTGGTAATAAAATCTTATCATTTGCAACAGCATGGATGGAACTAGAGACTATTACACTAAGTGAAATAAGTCACACAAAGAAAGAAATACAATATGATTTTACTTTTATGTGGGAGCTAAAGAAGAGAAAAAAACAAACAAAACTGAAGCAGACTCATAGATTCCGAGAACAGAGTGATGTTTGCTATAGGGGAGTAGGGTTGGAGGACTGGATGAAATAGCTGAAGGGATTAAGAAGTACAAGTAATCACAAAATAGTCACGGGGATGTAAATACAGCATAAGAAATGATGATATTGCGTTGAGTGTATATGTATGGTACCAGGTGCGTGCTTGGGATAATAGGGGAGCACTCTAGGATATTCCATATGTCTGTCTACTAAGCTGCACTTCTGCAATTGGTACAAAATAGTACTGAATATAAATGGTAATTTTACAGCAGTCTTCTTACATGAAAATCTATTCTTTTTTTTAATGTATTTTCACACACACACACACACACACACACACACGCGTAGTTTATTCTCTTCATTTTCTAACTTATCTCATGTATCTACATAAAATATAAATGTTCTTCAAAGCCTGGTTTGCTTTATTCCTCAAATATTGCTATGTAATGTTTCATATCATTCAGGTGTAGGTATTTTAAATTTGCATTAATTATTTAGCAATGTGGTTTTACATTTTCAAAATACATGGGGAATTTTAACAATTTATCTATTTACATTAACTTATAATTTTATTGTGTGGTAGTCAAAGATAATTCCTTATAATATTTTTTAATTTTTTATGTGTTTTCTATGACTTGTTCATATCAATTTTTATAAATGTTCCATGTATAGTTGAGGAAAATGTGTATTTTTAAGTTGTTAGATATAAAATCCTATGTATCAAAAAAAAAAAAAAAAGGAATGCAGTATTGGCGAAAGATTAGACAAGATTAAACAAACAGATCA